GTTTAACAAAACTAATACCAAATTATATAGACCAATATTCAAATCAGGAGTAATAGAACCAACAGAAATATGGTATATTTAGAAATGTATACAGAGTATATTGAAAAAGGAGCATACTAGACAAAAAAGCGAGATATTCAAATTGTAATAAATGGGTAATTATTTTACTGGTATAGTAATAATCCACCGTAACCTTTTTTATAACGATAATGATTATAATGATTAGGGATTAGCAATTAATTACCGATCGCAATATTCTGATATTGAGATCATCACCAAACTAAAAGCAAGCAAATTAATTTGTTAGTCAGAGAACAAGAAAAAGCTTGTCAAGAACTTAATTGAATAATATTTGTTGAAAAACTTGAAATTCTAGGGAACAATAAAAAATGAAGGTATTCTTTTCCAATAATAACAATAGAGATGAGCATCTTAATAATCGATACGTATTAAAGAAATTAAAAATTTACAAAACGTAACATATTATTAAAAAGATTAAAAAGGATATGAATAGTAGCATATGTTTTGAATTTTCTTAATTAGACATAAATGATAATCAAAGGGTTATCATGAATCAACATTAAAAATTACTAGAATCGAGGACCGATTTAAGATCAACGACAATTAGCATTAACGTTAGTCTTAACGTTAGCATTAAACGTCGTTAGCATTAACATTAACGTTGTTAGCATTAACGTTAACATTAACGTTAGCGTTATCGCTGGAGTTATCGCTGGAGTTATCGCTGGCGTTAGAAAAAAATTAATTATAAAAAATAATTGGACCTGGTTATCAAACTTTGAAATTTTTATTACTGATAGTGATTTGTGAGGATGAATAATAATCATAATACAGTAATAATCATTGTACACAATACCGATACCAATACAGTAATACATAATACAGTGATATCACGTGATAACCAGTGGAGCAAAGACCATGAACTAGATTTTTAGAAATCACAAGAATAACAACGATATTGATAGGTCACATGGACTAATTATGCAGAACGCCACGTGGGCTCACAATTAAATTATTTTCAGACATTGTTTCTCTATTCCAAGTACGGCATTTTATTCTCTTGTACCCGTTATTGCATATATGATTACAAAGGCGTACGTACGTACGTACGAATGGCCACATATTTACCTGTTACGTACTTAAGTACGTACGTACGTACGTACGTGGATTTTAAACTTTATCATTAAAAATTTTACTGTAATTTTATTATCTGTTATTTTATTTAATACGTATGGAAGGAAATATAGACTCAAATCATACGTATGGTGTATAGAAATAGATACTCTCCGAAAGGCATTTAATGTTCATTACGTAAGCAATTGGTCTTTGTTATTTATGAAATACCAATTAAGTCATATTTTATCCAACTTATTTGATTTTTTTGGTTATTGAGTTAGTTACGCATCAATATCTTAGTTATTTGCTGTAATATAAATAAGTTAAAGTTTTTTTTTTTGATTCTAAAAATAAGGGCCGTCGTGTACACGTGTTATATATAATATATTAGTGGGGGATTTAAACAAGATTTGTGAACACGAGAGAGAGAGGTTCGTACGACATGGCTTCGGGTGCGTACGTACGTACGTACGTAAACATAAGAGAGAGTTTCGTACGACATGGCTTCGTGATACGTATGTATACCTGATATCGATATTTATCGATATTTATCGATATTTATCGATATTACAGGGTAACGAAAAGATAAAGCGCGGGATTGATGAGTTAAAATGCATACGTACGGACGGACGTAAATACATACGTACCTGATACGTACGTACGTAATAATAGTACGTACGTACGTAATATTAGTACGTACGTCGGCTGTATGTGAAAGCTTAAGGTTTACATACAACCATTAACTCAAAATGAAATTTAACTAAAATTATCTTGACAAATATAAATATGAATTACGCCATTCGTGCTTTCGTACTCGTTTCTGAATTTTTAGTGAACAGGCTGAAACATTTTACAAACGTGTGATTGAGTCAATCAAATCATCGTGTTTATTAAACATGGGCTAAAAAGCAATAATATATTAAAGAAATTTGAAAATATCCTTAATCTTCATAATCTGTTGTTATACGTTACTCTATGTAAACAATAAACTGCTTACACTAGCATTAATATTCGTGTTACTAAAAACAAGCTTAATTATATTGAAATTTTCTTTTATGCAAACGCGTATTTTTTAAAGCATGAATTAATCCATGAAAATTTTTTGGGCTGAATATCATTTACGTTTACTTATTATAAATCAATAAATTCCATTGAAGTTTTGAATTGGAATTTCTTGAAATTCACACGTGAATAAGTTTGATCGTATGCTTAGAAACGATATCTGATATGATCCGACGCTACACAAATTAGAAAATTTAGAAAATTTAGAAAAATAACAATTTTTTTAATTTCAGTAATTTCGGATAAAAATTCGGATTTATAAATTTGTTCTTTTTTGCACGTGAATGATTAAAAGATATCGCTACCTATCGTCTTTATCGTCTTTTTACTAGCATCACTCGCTTCTCACTTTGGAAAATATTTCAAAGTAATTATCATTAAAACATTAAATTTAATCTTACATAACCAATTTAGGTTCAACAATTTTAGGCTCAACAATTTTAGCCTCAACAATTTTAGGCTCAACAGTTTTAGGTTCACCATTTTAGGTCAACATTCTAGGTTCAACAATTTTATGTTCAACAGTTTTATGTTCAACAATTTAGATTCAATCCTGTGTGCATTTATTTGTTGCATTCTGTAATCTGGCATAAATCCTGCCGTATGTAATTCGTGTATATTTTTGTGACTGATCAGATTACATCCCTGGCATATTTATATCTACAGAATTTAAAGTTTTATCATTCGTGATTACCATTCGCGATTACCATTTGCGATTACCATTCGCGATTACCATTTGCGATTACCATTCGCGATTACCATTCGTGATTACCGGTCATAATCACTGCTCGTAATTGTTATTCGTAATTATTGTTCATAATAATATTCCTAATAATATATTCGTAATTATTAGAAATTACATATATCCCTTGTTTAATTTTTTCGTTGTTTAATTTTTTCGTTGTTTAATATATTTTTCAATATATAAGTTATATGATATATATATATATATATTTTATTTTTATTTTTATTTTTTTTTTGCGCAGTATTCTGCACCCCTTTAATCTTGCATGGTTAAATGATTTTTACGAGTTAATTTGTTTGTTTGGAAATTGTTACAGAAAATCAAATATATAAATATCGATATATATTATCTTTATAAATTAACTGTTACACAATGATAATATCAGTCGAACCTGGAATATGAATTTTTCATTTTTAATATTTTTTTAATTTCTTTTTATTTTTTTGTAATTACAATTTCCTAAATTATTGCTTTTTATTACATTATTGCTATTATTATTATTACTATATTATTACTATACTAAACCCCATTACAACTTTACTTACGTACATCAATTAAAGACAATGGTCATAAGAATAGTGAAACGAATTAACTTAAAATATATCTGATAGTAAACCAAAATGGTGAATATATGGTTTGACAGTTGTGGTCTAGTGCTAAGTGATTGGTTTACCATGCGTTATGCAACATGCAAATTGGCAATGCACTAAAGTCTAACAGACATCCGATTTTCCATTTCTCAACAGCCGACTGCGTACATGCATGAATGATTAGAGTCCATGTTTATACTCAACATATAATTCAAGGTATTTGGTGCTTATGAAAAGAAAATTTCAAACAAAGAATATTCAAGTTATTTGATGATCATCTTATGATTTCTAAAATGAGTTGTATTTACCGTACCGTAAATTTACTTTTAATACAATATCGATATACTGTATATATATATTTTTTTTTCATCATGGTTTCTCGTCTCCAAATTCTTTTTTAGTCTTTTTTTTTTTTTCTTTTTTTTTTTTTTTTTTTTTTTTTGGGACGTCAATGCAAAATCTAAATTCACTCTCTCTAAAAGGTGAATTTTCTTTTTTTTATGAGGAAGATGAATTTGTTGTAATCGATTAGTAACTAATCGTGAATGCGTTGTTATCAATTTCCATTTCTGGTCTCTCCATTTCCTTCTCAATAATTCCCCTTACCGTATTTCTCTTTCTTGCATATTTCATATTTTTCCATAATTTTTCCATAATTTTTCCATAATTCACATTTCATTCATTCATTATCCATTTAACTTTATTCATAGCTCATTCATATCTACCATTCTCTATAATTGACATTCTTACAGATTTGTGATGGTTCGGCTGTCAAATCAATTTACCGTAATATGTAAAAATAAAGACCAACCCTGTGCGTGTGATTTTCGAATCAATATTTATGATTGTCCAGAGCAAAATATTCTCGTCACTGCAAATTGGATCTTAATACCTTATTGTACTGTGCTAAGTGTAACGGCCATAATATGCTTGTATCATCTGATCTCGATCAAGGATCAACCATTCTTTTTACCTCAGAGACGAGATCGTGGCTTCTTGAGACCTCGTCCCCAACATACTTATCACAGCATGTCTTTAATATATTGTCCTTGTAAGTTTGTTTTTCTCAATGATTTGTGAATATGCAATTACTGACATTACCCATTCAATCTATTTTCGATCTATTAAACTTGAATTTTTATAGTTCAAGTATTACATTCGGTTCTTTTATTGTTGAATTTGTATCCTAACATGTTCTGGGCTGAAAGTACGTTACATCACGTTTATCGAAATTTTTTCAAATATTTTTTAATGATTTTTTATTCGGATTTATTTTAGTCGGTAATTCTTTACCGAAATCGCTTACTGCTGCATTCGCAATCCTTTATCCATTAAGCATAGGTATTCATGGTTTATCTGAGATGTTATCATTTTTATATAATTTTTTATATAATTTTTTTTATTATTTTTTTATATAATTTTTTTATTATATTTTTATTTTTTTATGTTTATTAATATATAAAGCAATGTCAACGTCATCATTAGAAATAAGAACAAATCATTTAACACGTTCACCTATATCCCCATCATTCTCTGATGTGCCGGGACCACGTCATGGAATTTTAATAGACATTGCATGTATAATAATAACTTTATTATCCCTAGCATTGTTTATAGCATTGGCCGCGTTGACTGGATACTACGCGGATATTGAAGATTATGATACTGCAAATAAATTGTTTATTTCTCAAAATCTTGCTTGGTTTGTATGGGGTTCCGTTTATATGATTGTTGTTTTATACCTTTGGGTTAAATTTGTTGGCGTGGCTTGGGATAATATGTCGGATTTGGACCGTACACACGCAATTCGAAGTACTGAACTTCAAACTAAATTTGTTCAACTTAAGCGTGGTTGTAAAAATGTATGTATATAATATATATAATATATATATATATGTATATATATGTATATATATATATCTTTAATAATCTTTAATAATCTTTAATAATCTTTAATAATCTTTGAAAATTATCTTTGATAATTATTTTAATTATTTTTTCTTAACAAATAATTCGAAATAATTCGAAAATAATTTGACCAATAATTTCATTAATTCTGTTAATTCCTCGTAATATATATTAACTTATTTACATTAATCAACTCATTTACAGTTATCTATCCCTGTAATTGGACAAGCTATTGTGGCATTAATTTGTCTACCTGCAATTCTATTCTACGGACTGTTTCATCGAACGAACACCATCCTTAATTTTAACATTAACATTTTGTATCTGTGTATATGGAATTTCGTTGTTCCTGTAATTATACATGTCACTCAATGGATCATGCTTGTCAAGTATGTTAACTTATCCATCTTTATATATAACTTTTATAATCTTTATAAATTCTTTATAACTTTTATAATCTTTATAAAATTCTTTATAATTTTTTATAACTATAACTCTATTTATATTTTATATATAGTTTATTAAAAACACCCGATTCTTCAGCACCACTTTCATCATCAAGATCAATTATAAGAGATGCCGATCAAGACAATTCTGACAAATATAGTCAATCTAATGATCGAAAGCAAGAAGAAACTGATAATGATATAATAAGTGAAGTCTGTGAAAAATTAAAAGATGATGACCCAATACATTTCAATTTCATAAAACCAAAATATCATCCCCATCATAATTCTACCACCACCACCACCACCGTTAGACACGGTGATCAATTTTTTACAAGTCCTTATCCTTCAAATTTTAATGACAATGATAATGTCAATAATTCGGTTCTTGGTAGTAGTAGTTCAATTCCATTTATTAATACAAATATTACAACTACAAATGATTCTCTAAAGAAAATTCCTCAAACCTTTCGTCGTCAATCAGATTCTTCAATATCAAAACAATATCAACAAAGACGTTCTCCATCATCCCCTTCTCCACTCTCTTTACGTGGTTTAAATGATTCTACTAAGCTTCCTACTGATGAAAATGTTCTTCAACAAGAAATGGTCCTTGAAAATCCTTTATCTCCTTTATCTCCATCATCCACTATTTTTGATAGAAGACGTAGTAAACATTTTTCCGTCAGAACTCACACCTCAAATACTTCTTCTGATTCTATAACCTTGACTTCCCCTATATCACTTTATAATAATGATAATTCTAATTTTACTAATAATAATTCTAATAATAGTAATCTTGATAGTATTAATGATAATAGTAATAATATTAATCGTCGTCAATTTCATCATAATTATAGTTATAGTTATAGTATTCCTTCGGTTCGTTCTTATTTTCTTCATAATAGAAGTTATAGTGGTGACGAGATAAGTACTGGAAGAAACAATAACAACCACAACAACAACAACAACAAAAACAATATTAATTATGTAACATCAAAGTTATCATCTGATGTTACTACTGGTCATAAGAATAAGTCTATTCTTTTTGATGGTTCTACGTCTACTTCTTTACCTACTACTCCAACTGTCCCTATAGTTAGTACTTCTTCTTCTTCTTCTTCTACTAGTTTAAATAATGATGGTAATAATAATGTAGGTGGTAATCAAAATTTGAAAGAATGGTTATTGAAAAAACCTACTCCTGCTATTCCTAGACCTCAAAGACTTGATAGTTATAGGGAAAGTATTTAAATTTCTTGTAATTTCTTGTAATTTCTTGTATGATTTACTTTTTTTTTTCGATCTACTTTTGTGATTCCAATTCCAATTCAATTCAATTCGCGAATTTTTTTATACCGATGATGATGAACAGTTTTTTTTTTTTTTTCCTACAATTACTGAAATTTTAGATACAACATACTTTTTTTTTTCCTTCTCATTGAATATTTGTTGTTCTTTATATATATATATATTATATATATTTGTAAATTAGAACTGAAAAAAATTTCATCTTACACATTCATACACGTGTATTATAGCCCTTATTGCAAAATTATTAAAAAAAAATGAATATATTTGAAATGGTTGTACCATTTCTTTTTTTATATTTATATAAACATTTTTTATGTTTTGATTGTTCAAAGTGTAGCAAGGACTAGTCAGATAATGTGCGTTCATGCAAATGTTCGATATGTTCGATAATAACACGTATGACGTAATACCAGGTGCGGTGCCAATTTTTGAATGTGCTAGGTTTGTAGCGCAGTCAAGTTCGTTTATGTTAAAGTTATCGCTTTTATTATGGTTAGAGATTAGGAGCATATATAGTAAAATTACTCATGGAAACTTATTGTTAGTGCGCGAAGAGTAGTTTTATATGCAATTTTTCAAGAAATCAAGAAATATGCGGTTTTTGACAAAACGGACGTTCGTTTTGAATTTTCCTGTTCGCCCGGTCTTAAATTTGATTCGTAGTTCGGGAAATCTGCGCCATAAACCTGGCACACATTCAAGAATTGCGTGCGGTATAACAGATAATACGTAACACGTACGTACGTACTGTACTGGTCAGAATAACACCCAGTTTTAATTTCTTGATTTCTTGTTCAAAATTAGATTCGACTTCATATAAATTTTAGAACAAGTAAAAAAAAATTGCCTAGAATTCATGAAAACCCGAATATAAAAATTCGAATTTGCAGTTGTATACATAATAAACTTACAAAGCTGAATTAAACAAAACCATAAAACCGCATTATTCCACGGGTCTTATGTAACAACCCGTGCTTTTTTATTTGGTTATTGCACGGAATTGTACGTCGACACCGTGAAATAAAATAGTTATTATATGGGTATATGAATAACCGTGGCCGAAGGCCACGGTTATTCACTATAACCTTAAACTTACTGAAGAGCACCACAAAAAAAGAAAGATAAATCTAATTTCTTACTTCAGGATGGCTTTTAAAATATTAATGTAGTTCTTGTCACCTTATATGCTTTTTGAAAGATGATAGAAAGGTTAGTTTAAACATTTTGATAAATAAATTGGTCAAATCAATATTTGTTGAGGTGCCTATATATATTATATAATTTCATCTTTATGAATAAGGATTGTATAGCCAGGTTGGAAAGAAAAATCATTCATGGATAAAGCCTCTTGCTTATATTATTTGGGATACACTAAAAATCAAGAATGTTGGAATAAAAGATAAAAAAATGTTGTTTAGAGTATACATGTCACTGAAATAGGTTTTTAAAAAAACTCTATTTTGTCTTTATTAGAGCGAATTAAATTTTTTTTATATACAAGAACAAATTAAATTTAAGTAGTTATATTGCTTATAATTGTCTCTTCAAAAAAAGTATCAAAAAATTTTGTCTTTTAACCAAAACAATTTCATTAACATATATAGTTTAAAGTAAAAAATCATAGTTTAAAGTTTTTTTTTTTTTTTCTCTTTAACTAGCCTCTTTGGAACTAAGGTTTTTATTCAAGTATTTAATGAGTGAGGGGCTCATCCCAACCCCGTACATTAGAGAGTACATTCTAGCCATACCTGCACCTTTTGAGCACCTAATTAAGTATCTACCTATTGCTAGATTCTACACTAGATGTCATACCTATAACCTACTATTACTTGAGCTATCCAATTAAACACTCTGTAATGTAATTCTACCTGTATCGCTGTTACATCTTTATGAAGTTTCGGATTCTCACCTATATCTTTAGGACTAATTTATCCTCGAGGCATCGTTGCTAGAGCTATCTGTATCCACAATCTGGTTAACCTAGGCTTTCGGTAACTTACACCGAGTCCAAGGACAAGTACTTGCAAGCCGAGGCTGCTACTGTTACCTACTACCGCCTTTATAGAGTTCACCCAAACCCCAGCACCCACTATACAGACTATTCCCCATATACCCATCATTCCAAACTTCTAATTCAGATGGCCTGGGAGGGCAGTGACCTGCCCTTGGTCCCCACAGTTGGGTTCTTTTCCTCCAGTTACTCTCTGGTGGCTAGGTTGGTGGAGTGCCTTGCCAAACACTTCGGTTCCATTCAGTTTTTTGGTTTCCAGTTAATAATCCTTTACATAGTACTGTCGAAGATCTGTGCTACCTCTCTACTCAGGTCTTGCCAAGCAGGCTTCTGTACCCTGTAAATTTGCTGAATTTATCTGGTAGCTTCACATGGATTTCGTATAACACATATATCACACTACATATTCTACTATCTCCCAGTACAAGCTGGTACTACCACCATTACAGGTTCTATAACCCAATAGGATACAGTCTTCCAAATGTATTTTCTTAAATTCGAATTTTCGTCGCTAGTGGGATTTGAACTCTAGTTCTGCTGCTTGGAGGTGTGACAACTTGCCAACTCCACTAAGTTGTCACACCCTTAGTTTAAAGTATTTGGAGATAATGGTTATATATATGTTTAGAAAAAATCAAATTAAATATTTGGTTCATATGTTTAGATCAAAAAAAAAGGGTGTAATAGTTTGGTGATGCTTTAATTATTGTTATAGCTAATGTTAAATATTATATATAAATTTGGGTTAGAAATTGCAGATTGCATATTAATTATAAAAATTTAAAACAAATGTCTTTTTGTCAAAAATTGCTGATTTCCCAAAAATCTTTCTAAAAAACAACACTTTGTATACTAACAAAAAGTTTTCATTAAGCAATTTACTGCATAACCTTCTAAGCTTTAATGTTACTATATATGATAACTCTAACACAATAACCTTAAAGAACTTTGTTGGTAGTTAGAGTTTGTTTTGATTTTTCCTTGATTGACATGCAATTTGCAATTTTTGATCTGAATTTTCTTATGATATTCAATATCAGCCAAACTTAGCATCAGCTATGACAGTTATTATAGTTTTAAATTTTTTTGGTTCAAGTTTTTGTCAAAATAAATTTGAAAAACTATATCAAAATTCTTTGTGATTGTTATTACTTTTTTTAAAAAGTTTAGAAAATATTGTTAAAGAAAAAAACTATCTTTTCCAAAATAACAATACAAAATTTATATTTCAACTTTCACTATAAATTGGTTTAATAAAAATAATATTACTTAATTTTCCTAACTATTGTATAGCTCTGTTTTTAATTTTATTAAACATTTTTAGAATAAATTAGAGCATAGGGTTAATAATCATATTTTTCTGCCAAGCAATGAGTTAGAGCTATTAAATTTGCTGCAAGAAGAATCGTTTAATCTTAATAGTTTAATTTATTTATTTATTTTATTTTTTTTAAGTTTTATAACTAGCCTCTTTGGAACTACAGTTTTTATTCAAGTATATAGGTGAGGGCTCGCTTATGAAACCCCGGTACATTTACATGCAAACCTAGCTTGTATCACTGGTACATCCCTATTACAATTACTTGTCATAAGAAGTTCTGGATACATTCCCAATACCCTTAGGACTAATTTATCCTCAAGGCGTCGTTAGCTAGAGCTTTCTATACCTACAATCCGGCTAACTTAGACTTTGGTAACTTATGCCGAGTCCAAGAACAAGTACTTGTGAGCTGAAGCTGTTACCATTACCTACTTCTGCTCTTGCAAAGTTCACCAAACCCCAGCATACACTTTACATAGTACCATCAAAGATCTGTGCTATCTTTCTACTCAAGACTTGCCAAGTGGGCTTCCATATACCCCAATATCTGGATTTACATAGCTGTTTTACTTAGGTTTTGTGTAATTCATGTGTCATACTACAGTTCTATAGCTTCCCAATAACCTCTAGTACAACCAAGTTTACAGATTCGATGATCTATCAGATTACACACAGTCTGCTGTAACACATTTTGTAAAATTCAAATTTCATTGCCAGTGGGATTTGAACTCTTGTCCTGCTGCTTGGGGGTGCGACAACTTGACCACTTCACTAAGTCGCTATACCCTCAGTTTAATTTATTTATATAAATAATATATATAATAATTATTTAGTACTAAAAATATTAAGTTATTAGAATTATATATAGTGTTATATGATTCTATTAAATTAATCTCTCTGTATAATAAAAAAAATTCGATAAACTTTAATAAACAAAAAAACACATGATCTATATACTATTCAGTTAGTTAGTTTATAATACTTTACTTGAGCTTCCTCTTTTCTCTTCTATAATTAATAGTAGCTAGTTTTAAATTAGTTTATAAATAGAAAATTAAGAGGTGATTTACTACACTTAAGTGGTTATACAAGATATAATAGATAGTTCAAAATTAATATTATCTTGATACAAATCTGTAGCTAATCTTATTATATATACAGCAAATTCAAAAAAAAAAAAAAACTTTACAGAAACCTATAAATTTTTGCCAATGTTATTATAATATAGTGATGATGTTATTACAATATAACTACAATATAAAAAAATTTTGTTGTGATTTATAATACTATGATATTTTTACTTTAAAGCTATTACATTGTAACTATAATATAAAATCTAGTAACAATTTTGTTAAGATTTCATAACAATTTTAATAATAAAATTATTATAATATTACAATGACCTTACTACAACTATATAAAAATTTAGTAATGATTTTGTTAAGATTCTATAATAATTTTAATAATAAAATTGTTACGATATTATAATGACCTTATTGCAACTACATAAAAATTTAGTAACAATTTTGTTAAGATTTCATAATAATTTAAAACCCTAAATTGCTACTATATTATAATGAACTTATTACAACTTTAATTAGATCTACT